ATGGTATGATCATTGGTGGGAGTTTGCCTAGGGAGAGAAGTAGTATTAAATCCATGTTGTATTAGCAACTTACAATTAGAATCAAGCTAAAATCAATCACAACTTTCTTTTTAAGATGAAATCAAGCTCATTGGTGCTTCATAAGGTTAGTCTACAATTAACATTAACACCTCTCACCAATAATTCTCTAAATCACCATTTCTAACATCTAATTTCATCCTTTAATAACTAAATTTCTCAACTCTAAGATCAACCTCATATCCAATGAGTTTATTAAATCATATTAACTTTATTTAACTTCCAACAACTTAAATACTCACTAATATCATCTAACAATTCAAAATCATCATAAATGTTATAAATTACTCACTTCTAACTCTCAAACTTCAACACCTTTAATCACTCAAAACTCTCAATTATTGAGTTTAATCACCATAATAGGTTTGTTGACTCCCATTACCTTTAACTAACACTAACACAATCCTTAATCAACATCAATAGCAACCACATACTTTAAACACCACCATTTATGGCACTTTAAGGTATAATTTTGTCCATATTAATTAGCACAAACTCAAAGATGCTCAAACTCATCAAAGCTAGGTTTATATAACCCAAACAACTCCTATTAGTCTCATTTAGACTAATGGGTTTGGACCATAGCCCTAAATCTGAAAATCATCATCTCTCAACCTTAAATCTTACTTCCAAAACGTGTAGAGAGAAGAGATAAGGAAGGCATACCTAAAAAAAATCAAGCTCTAATCACCTCTAAAATGCTCAAAAGTATATGCCCTAACAAAGTAATTACTCTCTCCATCGCCCTCCCTATGTTTTATAGTGTTTTCCTCTATTTTTAAACTATTTTCTCATTTTTAAAAAGATTAATTCTAGAAATTATGTCGCAACGTAAATTTATATTCTGCAGCATAATGTAATGGGCTAAGATCTAGTTTTTTCTTTACAATTTGAGTTTAGGTGTAACATCCTAGAAATTTAAATCCAACTAATTAAGTTTAATGATGGTAATTAAGTGCATTGATATGATGTGTGGTTAGAGGGATCTAAATTGTGTAATTGATTATGATTTCAACCTTAAATGTGGGTTTGAAGTAAGGTCGACCTACTCGAGCATCAAAAGTAAAGGAAAAAGTGAAGAAAGGTCATCTATACCACATGTTACGTCAGATGTCAAATGAAGATTTAGGATGCATCAAAAGTTTGTCCCTAATGCTGTCATTTGATAGTAAAAATTTATTGTCAAAAATTATGCAATACGTCGCAGCGTATGGCACAGAGACTTACACGCCATGACACGTGTTTTTTTCTGTATTGTTTCACAATTTTGAGTTTTATGAAATTGTTTTGATTCTTTCTTTGATTCCCAAGATTCTGTACTTATTTTAAACTATAATTTGTATATATAAAAAATGTATGGGAGTATTTAAATATTGAAATCTCAAAATCCCATTTGTCCAGATATTGAAAACTTGAAAATTCTTTTTAGGTTAGACCCTTGATTACCTTAGTTTTTGGAATTAATAAGTGATTTAAATATAAAGATTACATCAAGTAACCCAATTCACTTTCAAACCCAATCCAAAAGCTAAAGCCAAACTTAAAACCATCTCTAACTATCCTCAAACCCATTTATACTTAAATTTACATATTTATCCTTCATTAGATTAATTAATCAAGAGAATAATTTTTGATATGTTACAACTCTCCTGTCTTTTTAGGAATTTTGGCCCCCAAAATTTCAAACAACCAACAATAATACACACCTATTGAAACTAGTGAGGCTATTGCTACTCCATCTTCTCCTCAGTTTTCCAAATGGCATCACCAAGGAGCCATTTCTTTCCTAAGTACTAATGTCAAAAAAAGTCTTGTTGTTTTTCCAATTTTACCACCACCATTATCCCTTAAACAATCTCCTCTTACGCTATTTCACACAAAAACATTCTTTTCTATCTATTTTCCCTCTAGTTCTAGCATGAGGCTTAAGATATATTGCATTTTTACATATTTCATTCTCAACCACATTTACACCATGAATTCATACTTTATTGGCTTAACCTCAATATCTTAAACTCATTCAGGTATATCCTCAATTCAGGTCAACAAACTCTAAGTCTATTCACAAACCTTCAAATATTCTTTTTGCTATCTAGTAGCTTATTAATTGGTTTGGTTTGGGGCAAAACAATTAAAGAGTTCATTCCTATTATATAGTTAGTCAGCATGCTTTATTCATAAGGTCGCCTCCTTACTAACAGAAAATTAGTTATTTTTAGTACTCGGGGCATAAGGGAAGCTAACTCTTCATTCATAGCTGAATATTATCATACTACATTCTAACATAGTCATTTTGTCATCACAATTCCACTAACCCTTCACATTCTACAACTAGACTGCAACAGTATGGGTTGTGAGCCTACTAAGCTTCCACTGTGTGACTCTAATTAAATGTGAGTTTATCATAATAACATATTCACAATTATGCTCTATTCATAATTCTACAAGGATTTTCCTAATAATTGCCATCCCACTTTACATGTTCCCTTGTACATGATTTAGAGTTGTCTAACCCTTACATTAGGGGTGCCAATCTCATCAATTATCGTTTATATCTTATTTTCATGTTTATCCTTGAAATAATAATATTGTTATTATAACCTTTGTCACATCTGAAAATGTGACATGGATGGCATATGAGGGTAAATATTTAGCCTTTAGAATGTAACCTGACTTAAAAGAGTCACCACCAAAATTTTAAAAAAAAATCTTGAAAAAATTCTCTAAAAGAAAATAAAAAGGATAGTCCGCAAAAACAAAATGGGTTTGGGGTTGATTATGTGTGAGGAAAGTGTTGTACACCCCACAGTACCCATTTATAAGAACAGTTACCTTAAACTTTTTATGCAAAAATCATATGGCATTTATCTTAATTCCTATTCAATTGCGTATAAAATATAAATAAACAAAACATTTATTTGGTTACAAGGGGACTTGACTCAAAATTAATTTTTGAGGCCTATGTACATTTTTATAAGGATCAAAATCTATGTAGTTTGAGATAGGAATGAATGTCACTGGATTAGTGGCTTTTAATTTATGATTTTTATGAAAAGAGAAAGTTAAATAAAAATAATTTATCAATCGCAAATGAAACAATTTTTTGAAATGTGGGTTGATGTGTTTTAATTTGTGAAGATAATTTAACTTCAATTTCTTACTCCCATTTTAAATTTAGAAAAAATGTTTTCATTGTTTTATACTAATTTTTGAAATTGTGTTTTTTCAAAAAAAAATATATTTGAACTAATATATTTTTCTTATTTTGAAAATTAACTTTATCAACATAGAAAAGTAATTTTAAAATCTTTACTAAAAATGGCTCAATGTGCCTATGGAGACTTATTGTCACTTATAGACATACAATTGATATTAATTCTTGCTGAAATTTTATATTTCTTATGCAATATGAAATCTTAATTATTTACTAAATATCTTCTTTTAACATTTTTTCTCATTTATATATATTGAAAATTTATTTTAAATAAAGTTCAATGTGCCTATGGATATTTACTGTCACTCATGGTAATAGAATGACTTTGATGCCTATGGTGACTAGATGTTACTTATGGACAAAAGAGGAAGGCAAAAAAAGTGATAAATAATTATTTGTTCCTTAATTGCATAATATGAATTAATTTTTTTCATTATTATTTTGTTTATTTATTGTGAGTATGATCATTGTTCATGTTAAAAGAAAGAAGAAAAAATAAGTGAATAATAATTGTTTATTATTTTTTTAAATGAGGCTTATATATTTTGAAAAGACTTATTATTGTGGTTACTGTTGTTGTTGTTGTTTAATTACTAATTAATTTATTTAATTCATTTTTAGTTTAAAAAGAATGAGGTTGAAATAAACCATTTTTCTTTCATGGACCTAGTACACTCATAGAAAAAGGAAAATAAATAATCTGCCTTTCCACTTCTCAAGTTGTTTTTTAAAAAGAAATTATGATAGATAATGAACCAAAAATATTCTAAACATACAAACACAAGATATAATCAATATTATTGCATGTGGAGACTTAATATCCCTCACAGCCCATTAAGTATAGACATAAGTGCTCACAGGAACTTAATATCACTCATGACAAAACTTAAAATAAATAAGTAAATGACTATTAAAATATAGTTTAAAAAAAAAAATAATAATAATAATATAATTAGTCTGGATCAAAACAATTCATCATCAATCTGATTAGTGCATCCAATGCTCGAGAAAAGGGAAAGATCATGACCCTTGACAAAATAGCCAAATTATTTCCTTCATCCCCATTTGTTAACTTGTTCACTATTTCATATGATTTTAGTTTTCATATTAGACATAGCCACAAGAGAGTTATGACAGTAATTTAAGAGGAACTTAGCCATGAAAGCTAAAAAAACAAAATGCCAAAGTTTGCATCTTCCCTTCAGTCATATTTTTACTGTAAAGGAAATTTGAAAATTCCTTAAAACATAATCACCAAGAGGATTCCATCACATCATTAAAAAAACTTTCACCATTACTGTAATAACTCATAAATTTAAATAAAGTAAAATATCATGATTAGGTAATTTGAGAATATTTTTATTAATTTTGAAGATAATTTTATTAAGTTATATTAGTAGCTGAATGGAAATTCCATTGGCATCTATTTTCATGTATTTGGTTTGAATCCATGCAATGTTAAAAGGGAAATTTTACTTTTGCTGCAGCTAAATGAAATTACTATTTTAACCTTTTATTATTAAAAAAAGAAAAAAAGAAAAACAAAAAGAGAGCAGTGAAAGCTAAAAATGCACGGCTTCCTCTTCTTTTCTCCATTTTTTCATTTCTTTCGAAACCTCCAGAACCTAGAAAGAGAGAGATTGAGGTAGAGACAGCACGCACAAGTCTCTCCCCTGATCTCTAGTCTTCCTCTGTCGTTCTTTTTGTCTAGCACCAGTGACAATGAAAGGTCTCCTTCTTCCTCCGTTCTTCTCTGTCACCAGCTGTGGAAGCATTAAGATTCATCTTCGCCCCCTGTTTTACATCGTGGAATGCTCACCATTGCGGGTCATTGTAAGCTCATCCGATCACCATTCGTCTCCATCAACAGCTGTGGGTTCTTCAATTTTGGGCTGTGGCAGTCATTCTTTGCTGCAGAAGGTTTGATTTTCTGGTCCTTTCCTTTCCCTGTTCGAACGTCGGTTTCCTTTTTAGCTAAGCAGCAACAAATATCTAGGTGTGATGCTGAGCTGGTGTGGCTGTGGAGGTCGCATCAAACTCTTTCCTCCCTTATTTCACCGTCGACTCTCCCTCTCCATTTCTTTCGTTCATCTGCGCATGTGTTCAAGGAAGCAGGAGCTATTCATTTCCCTCTGTTCTTTGTTCATCCTCCCTTGTTTCTCACTGCAAACATCTTCGTTCCTCTCTCGCTCATGCTGTTGCAGATTCTTCTTCCTTCTTCCTCCTTATTCGTTCGCTTAGGATCATCTCCTTCTCTACTCGGTCATGCTGGTTCCAGGTGAGGAGCTTTGAATTTTCTTTTTGCTAGATCTCTCTGTGTGTGTCTAATTAGTTAAGACAGTATTATTTGGTATGTGAGGTTACTACCATGCATGATTATTAAAAAAAGGAGTAGGTTTCTGAACCAAGCAAAAATCTTTGTCTATTGAAGATGTTGTTTGTGCTTGGAGTGTAACTGAATTTATATTGATTTTGTTGAAGAAATAAACTTGGGATGTCAGATTAAATTTTATATTGATGCTGTAGAATTGTTGGAGAAATTATGGGATGATATTTGAAGGAAGAATTTACTATTAAAATTGAAAAATTGGTGCTTACAAGATGTTTGACAAAATGCTTAAAAGGATGAATATCGGTGGAACATGAGGAGTATAATTGATTTGATTTTTTTTAAGTTTATTATTGATTTGGGTTGAAGGAATGGAATTGGATAGGGGAAAGCTTGATATTAGTTTGAGAATTAATGCTTGTGAGGTATTTAATAAAATGTCTAAATGTGAGTTTTGATATATTATGGCAAGATATGTGTGGTGAACATATTGGTAATTAAACAACTACTGTTAAAAGAGAACTTTTGAAAAAGAAATTTATGCGAAAGAGGCTTGATAGTTTGTGATATTGTGTTAAGCATTAAGGAAGGCATAAACGAGATGGAAAGGTTTGTTTTTGCTCTTGTTGGATTATTGTTAAGTTAATAATTTGATAAGAAAACAGTTGCTCTATATGTATAGTTGTGATGTTAGTTGGAATTAATTTAAATGTCCCTAATTGCTTCAGGAATTAATTGATAAGTGAAATTAAAGGAGGAAGAAAACTTATTTGGATTAAAAAGAATCTTGTTAATTAATGATGGTTAGCATATTAAGTACTTATTTATTTATATTAAGAGAAGAATAAAACAAGTGATTTAGGATTTTGATTGACTTATTAGGAAATTAATGGTACCTTTAGAATTAAGTGAGAAGTTGAAGTGAATCAAGCTTTAGAATCGTTGGAGAATTTTCAATTAAGTGGATAGCGTCCCAACTGATTTTTTTTCAATCAAAATTTCCTTTACTAAAACACTACATTTTTCTGAAAATTATTTTAATAGTATCAATGCGATTATTGGATAATTGTTGATTAACATTTCTTTATTTTAAGAAATTAGCTTTATCAAATTTGAAATGTTATTTGATCAATTAAGTCAAGTTTAAACTTTGATTATGAGATTTTTATTTTATCAAATATTGGATTGATATAGGGATTGATTCATGGGAGTTCGACATTGAAATTTTTTTTATTCAATAAATGCAAGCATGAGCATCGGATATGAAATTTGAATATGGCAAGTTTTAATGCTTAAAAGTATTCATACGAGTTTGACTTTGAGAATGAAAACTGTATCTTGAAAGTGATGATTTTCTCGTATGTTTGAAAATGGTTTTAAAAAAAGGGGTCTTTATATAGAACACTGGTTGCTAACGGCAGTTCCGTTAACCCTTGGCGCGCCCTGGTACACCTAACTAACAAGGTGTTTATAGGAAGTGCTAGCCCCGTGCAATGGCCAACGCACGTGGAGTGGAGGGATGGTTATTAGTGAGCATTGTACTCATGTTTGTTTTGTGGCCTCGGCTATATTTGGTTACATACTCTCGTGGAATGTGTGTCCACGTTTGTTTCGTAGCTTCAGCTGCATTTGATTACTTACCCTTGTGGATTGTGTGTCCATGTTTGTCTCCGTGGCAAGAGCCACGTTTGGTTATTTACTCTCGTGGACTTTGTGTCCACATTTGTTCATTGTTCTGATAAGTCCCTGTAATATGAATTTGATTATTTGATTATTTTACATTCCATTGATTTTTTTTAATTAGTGAATTATTTATAATTATTTATTTTATTTATTTACTTTCTTACAATCAAGTGATAATAATACTTGATATGATATTTTAATAGTTCAAGATTTTATTTAAAATTTATAAAATTCTTTTATTTTTGAAGTTTATTAAATTTTTATGAAAATCGTTGCCTCTTTGAATTGCATAATTGTTTCAAACTTTTCTTTTATTCATGTTCAATTAGTTATTGTTGGGACGTTATTCACTGGAAAAGATATTTTGATCTCAAATGTTATAGTTGAACTCGTGACTCAAGATATCCACTGAGAAGTTTTATTGATGAATTGAAGCAGAAGAATTATTTTAGTCAACTCCTAATTTGATGAAAAATTTAAACTTTATACCTACATTGGCGTCTGGCCTTAGGTGGTCCACATAGGCTACAGGTAGGATCCTCACATTTCTTTTAAAATTGAATATCTAATTTGATATTGTAACAATTTCTAATTACTCTATTAGTGTATTTAACATATTAATTTTAGAATTTCTTCAATCACGACTTAAGAGATATGATTTTTGTGCCCATATCCCATGCCGGTCACACCAGATTTTTGTGGGTGTGACAATTACAAAATGGTGTAGAAGTACTGAATTATTAGCAAAACAATAACAGTATTATTGTAAGGCTAAAATATACATGTACTCATGGCTTTTGGGCTCATAAAATCATGATTTAGGTTTGGAAAAATCATTTTCTCTTGTAACAAAATAACTAAAATGCTAGTAAACATAGAGCGATGTAAAATAATTTCTTAGAGCATCCTTATAATTTTTTTCTTTCTGTAACACTAAAATGTGTAGAGAAGCATAGTCATATTAGGAAATAAAGTGAAAATTATATATATGATTAGTTATAAAGGGAATTTTTGGGCACGATGGCAGACTGCCAAACACATTATAAGCATAAAAATCTTCTTTTCCTTCCACATTCTAAAATACTGATTTGATATTTGCTCTCATTAATCCAACAAAAACCCAAGCCCTAGTTCTTTAAGTCATGTGAATAGATAAAGAAGCAGAGGAAGTATAGAATGATAAAAAGATTCATACCGTGCTTGAGAACATTTTAATGCTCTTCCTTCCTTTTCTTTAGTATATCAATCTTTGCTTTCTCTCTCAAATTACTCTCCCCTTTTTTCTGACCCCTTTTCTGTTTCTCTTATCTGCTTATTTATAGAAGATGAATTTGAACCTTACCTCAAATCCTAGCTAAAATTGCCTCCCTCTCAAGCTTAGTTGCAAGCTCTATTGCATGTTTGTTCCATCACATGATGTCGACATCCCTCTGCAGTAGCGCCCTCTTCTATGTCAGACTCTAAGTTTTTTTCCTTCCATGGCCAAGCTCCATATTCCATCAATGAAAGCAGTGTAAAATATCTCCTTCTTACTAGTAGCATAGATATCGAGAGATGGATAGACCATTTGCACATACGACTTGCCTCTCACCCTGTGCTTGCTGCGTTTAAGGCATTTGAAGGACTGTTGGAGTTGCCAGCATTTCACCAACACTTCCTCTCTTTTTTCCTTTTTTTAAAGTATATTTGTTAATTTTTATCTAATATATTTTCATTTATCTCCTTCTATTGTTGTTGTTGTTATTTGTTGGATCTGAAAAGAATAAAAAATCTTAACAACTTAAGTATAATATCTATTTTGAGAGATATATATATATATATATATATTCTTTTTTTAAATGAAGGATATGAGAATCAAAAAAGATCTTCAATAAGTGAAAATATATTTTTTAAAATTAATTAATATGAAGGATATGAGAAATGAAAAAGATATTGAGTAAGTGAAAAATATGCTTTTAAATTAATTAATTAATCAAAATATGTATCCTATTTGTAACATTATTTTATCCTTTTGCCATTTAACTTTTCTATTGACCCTTTAAAGGGAGATCACCCAATTTAACTCTATTTATTATTAACTTTTTTTTAGAAATGTTTAATCACTAAGATTTAATTAATTTATTGCGGTTCTCATAAAAAGATTCTTCTTTTAGGTTTTATGTAATTTTTTAATTTAAAGTTCCATACAAAATATAGTATTCACAACTCTTTATCCATTAAAATTCTAGAAAAAGGTTATCTTATCTCCTCACATTACAAATGTTACTCTTTCTTAACTTTTATCCTCTCATTTTTATCCTTATAAGATATCTTTGCACCCACTCCATTCACTAAGATCTCTCGTTGCTGAATAGGACATCACAATGCTCCCTAGTGAAATTCATCTTACTATTGACTTACTCACAATGATACTATCTCATTATCAAAATTTCATTACCTCTAGCTTGAGATCTTTTTGATTTAAGTCGCCCTCATGTGTCTAAAAATCTAATTTATGGATACCACTATTATTAATATAATTATCTTTATTGTCGCCCTTAATATTCACTAGTCTCATCCTAGATACCATTCTAACGATTAATTCAATTCTTAATTATGCTCCTTACTCCTCAAGGAAAGATTTATACATATCCTCAAACAATGATATTAACCTCAAACAAATAAACATGGTAGTAGTCTACTACTTGTCTTTCTTGATTAATCATACCAATAATGTCATTAACACAGTTAATGTATTCTATTTGAAGAGGTTGATTTCCATCAAGTTCTCTCACTAGAAGGTTTTATCTTAATGCCACTAGCTACTCGGCCCTCTTCCATAATCAACATCATAAGGTTCTATATACATATAATTTTTCTATGAGTAGCTTATTACCCATTAAAACTCTCTCGCACAATTCTTTACAATACAATAATTGCCTTATTTGATCAAGGGCCACTAATTATGGGTATGAAACCTCAAGATTTGAAATGAAACCTATACTAGGTAACCCAATTACCAAATTCTTTCTTTCATGTCAATTTCAATTCTAACTTACTTATTTAATCTCACCAAAATTTATTAACTTCTAGAAAAAGTTTAGGCACACAAGGATATAATAATCCTATAACTGGCCAGAATGTGTCGTTTCTAGTTTAGGATATATGCTAAAAGCCACATTTTTTTCTCATAACAAGTCTAATTATAAGATGATTTCTTCTTCCATCTAGTGATATAATTTCCCTAATATACACATTATTTTAATT